CCCCCCTCCTCCTCCACCCCCCTTCGCCGCTGCCGGCAGAGGCCACTGGCGTGCCCGAGTGGAGCCGGCGGCGGCGAACGTTCCTTCCCCGCGCGCTTGGAGGTGGAGTCGGGGCTCCCTCCTGCCCGGCGATGGTGCTGCTCGGCTGGCGGCGGTGTGGCTCGGCAGTGGGGTTCCACGGGCCTTGAGTGCCCTTGACGCGGCTGCGTGGCCATTGACTGCGGGGCGGCGCAGTTCAGATCAATATTATTACTAGCGGGACAAATGTGCTTCTGCATGTAAACACCATGTACTATCACAATCTGTTCCATTTTTCTTGTGAATTTGTGCAGTTTGAGCCGTCTGAATATTAGTTCACTGTCATGTTTGCACAGACAAATTAAACGTGGCAGTGGAGGTTGTCCCCTCCTGTCGGCTGCGTTGCGGTTGCCCCCGAGCCCGGTGTGTCCTCGTCCTCCCTCCAAGTCTCGTGTTGGTGGTCTCAGTGAGACGGTGAAGTTGGTGCGGTGATCGTGGTGGCACAGGCTGGTGGGCGGCATGTTGGGCGGTGCACTTCCGATTGTCTGGGGTGACGGTGGTGGTTTCGAGGCGGGAGAAATCCCTTGCGGCTCGTTCACCACCGATGCGGCTGCGCCCATGGGCACCGCTGGACCTTCCTGAGGGGCATCGGTGATACCCCTTCCCCACTGCCATCCGCGTACCGGGGGAAACCCTAGGACTTGTCCAGGCAACAGCGACGTCGTCGTTGCGTTCCTTCCTGAAGGTGTTGCTTGGTATGCGAGGCTTCGAAGTGCTAGGCGTGCGGTGGTACTTCTCCGAAGGGTGCAGCGGGTGTCGGCCATCTTCGCTTAGTTGAGCTGCTGGCGTCGGCATTTGTTTCTCTTTTGTTTCTCTCCTTTTCTTTTTGGCTTGTTTGTGCTGCGGCCCCATCGAGCTAGTTGTATCGGTTGGTTGTTGCTTTATAATATAAAGCGGGGAGACCCTTTTGGAATTTGCAATGTAAGTTGGAATACAGAGCAAGGCAGAGGCACTGAACATAAATAAATGAGTCTAACAAAGTGACAGAACTTCTAATTTAGGTCAATCTAAAGGAATATTAACTTATAACTTACGTCAGCAAAGGAAAAAAACAGAATCATGAGTGTTGGCAGCCACAATCAACAAACTGTGTGTCTGTATGTGCCAGCTACGATCCTACAGAGATTAATGCTTATATTCAGCATGCATTGGCAGACTCAGAAAGAGGCAGCTGAAATGTTCCAACTACACGGCCCACCAAGGAGCATACAACTGATCTTACGAGGCCGATTCGAATCAAACAGCTTGTGAACACAGTATGTTCTTGCTATAAAAAGAAGAGAGTGACTCAGGGGAAGCAACTTTTCGGTGGACGCGGGCTTGTGTGGACTTAATCTTGGCCGCAGGTGGATTCCTGGAGATGAGCAAACGTCAAGTCGCTGTCCCCCCATGCTCTATCGCTAGTGATAGGTGGTAGGGTCCTTAGGCGTATTGCTTTGGAACAAATGTTTTGTGCTTTTGAGGCTGGACCAGCGAACAGCGCGATGTGGTACTGGTGCAGCTCGTTTGGTGCATTTGCAAGATCACGTGACCAAAGTGGTGGGACAGCTTGTCCACACAAAACTGTTCAGCTATTCATTAATCAAAAGCAGGGTTGGTCCGTCGGTGACGACCCAGGTCGAAGCGACGACTGCTGCTCCTCTGTCCAGCTCGTCTTCTTCCTCGGGGTCGAGACTGAGCGACCAAGATCCAAGCGACGCCTGCTGCTCTTCTCTACACCTCCTCTTCTTCCTCCGGATCGAGAGCTTGGATAGGGCTCCATGGACCTGTTCGTGTCGCCGGAGGGCGATTCAGAAAAGAGGTAATTAAACTGCAACTTAATCTCCCTCTAGGCCAAGGTTTGATTAGATCCGCTTGTTTATTGGATGTAGTCGCTGCGGATTGCTAAGATTACTTGGTCCCCTTTTTTGCACGCAGGATTAGCCATGGGCAGATGGAGGGTGTTGCTGTTGCGCGCCCTATAGAGTCCCAGGCATCTATCAGCGTCGCCGAGGGCGACATCCGCCGTGCCGGAGACCTCTACAGCAGCGGCGGAAATGCTGGATCTGTCGGCGAGGGTCCGCTTTTGCAAGTGTGCTCAGAGGCTACCAGCGGGTGGACACGCAGGTATTAGTAATCAATTTATTTTGATTATCTTCTTGGCTATATGCTTGAATGTCAGGCTCGCCACCTGTATTATATGTAGGAATTTACGGTCGATTCATCTAGTTCCTAAATTTTAGCCAGGGTGTTCGCTCTGGAAGTGTACAAAGTTTTTGTATACTGATGAAAATGTTCATATTAGCATCATGGTTGTAGTCATAAAGGCAAAGGACATTTGTTTGGATGTCTTCAACTTATGTAATTGAAACGGACGTAAGAAAAGGGATGGGGTTGGATAATGGACTAATCCATTTTATGGTGGCTCTTTTTGTTGTGGCAATATCGGATAGTGGTCATTCAATTTAATTAGCAATTTTGTTGTCTTTAGAGTACCAGGGGCTTAGTTTTCACTCTGTTATGGAAATGTCACATACGGTAGTTCAAGCTGGTTTGATTTTCCAACTACGTGCGAATAACTAAACTTGTAATTGTACCATGACAGAGTAAGGATAAGGAAAGCCCCTGTGGAGCGAGAGCTAAATCCTAACCAGAAAAGTGCTCTTGAACTATCGATGAGGGCGTTCATAAGTAAATGAGATGGCAATGTAGTCAACCCAGCAGTCGGCACTTCATTTGATTCAC